CCTCAATGCTAATATCAAACATAAATACATACTAAAACAGAGAATGTACATGAATAAATGCTCTTTTTCAGAGATGGTCACTGTGAGAAAAATGGACTGTGATGGCTTCATGGGAGAAAATGAAGTAGCCTTTGAAGAAGTGGAATGGAAATGGGAAGGATGGATAGAAATGCTCATAATTGGCAAAGAAACACAGTTAAACATGGAGGAAGGGAAAGATTCAGCACATTGAGGGAATATTGATGAGGATGTAAACTAAAAATTTTTTGAGAGCCTGAGTGCCATTGCTCTTCATCCTGTGGAGATTGAATGGAGACCCGTAAACTCTGCATGAGACATGTTTTCACATGTTGGTCTCTGCACCAGCCAGTGCTGCTGTTCATATTGCTCCTCCTTTCTTCATCCCAGTAATCTCCCAGGGATGGATGGCTTCTCCTCACACTTGCTTAAAGCATCTGCTTCCCAAGAACCATCTATTTCCCTATGCATGCGATTCACACCAGCTCCCTTCACTTCCTATCATGACAGCTATGATTTGGTGCTTTAAAATCATTGAACTAGCAAGGGAAATCATGTATTTCCTTTTCTGCTCTATCTTCTGCCAGAACCTAGTGTCACAAAATCAGATCACATGTGTGTAGTGATATGGATTAAGAGGAGGGGAAAAGACACAGATACTGCTCCACCCCCCATACCATAGGCAGTCTGGAAATAAAGAAAGAACAGGAGGAAACAATGTCCGAGGTCCTGAGGGAGAAGAGAATTTCAAACAAAGAGAAGTTAATAGCCTCAGAAACCGGGTAATGCATAAGGTGAGATCACTGCTAATCTTTGAGAGGTTTCAGTGGGATAGTGGCCATGGAAAGCAATCGGAAGGAGTGTGCTTTCAAGGAAACTTGGAAGGGGGTAAAAAGGAAGAGATATGGCTGTGTTTAAGGATGTGGAGAAGAGGGAGGAGGAAGGAATGGAAGATATGTAGGAACAGCAGAGAAGAGATAGAGAGACAGGAAGAAAAGAGAAGAAAAGAAGAAGGAGGAGTAGGGGAGGGGAGGAGGAAGAGAACAAATGACCAGAAAAAGATAAAAGGCTGATGGCACAGAAGAATGTGGAGCTCCTGTTTGGGAGGGAGTCTTTGTAATGTGAAAAAAAAGCTTGAGAACATCAAGGTGAATGAGGCAGTAACCAAGTTCGCATTTACTATTTCCTCAAGTTGGAACAAAAAAGGCAAGAGAGAGAGACCTGATAGGCAGTTAGATTTATGCTCATAAGACATTGAGCCAGGCACGAAGCACTGATGGCTCACATTTGTAACCCTAGATACTCAGGTGGCTGAGATCTAAAGATCGCAGTTCAAAGCCAGCCCAGGCAGCAAAGTCCATGAGTCTATCTCCAATTAACCACCAGAAAATTGGCGCTGTGGTAGAGTGCTAGCTTTGAGCAAAAAGACCTCAGAGACAGCTCCCAGGCACTGAGTTCAAGTCCCACAACTGACCAAAAAAAAAAATACATTGAACACAAAACCAACTGCCATGGAAGGGAGGTTACCTACACTACAAAGCCCAGCCATAGCCTTTTACCTCCTCCAGATATCTATTCAAAAATAAGGCCTGTGTTCTCTCACTCACATGCTTAAGAAAAGGCTTAGCACTAAATTTCCCCACCATATTATCTATCAAGTTTTAGATCAGGAAGCTTTAGATTTAAAATAATCTAGTGACCACCACTGGATCCAAATATAAGATGTTGACATCCCTTCCCAAACGCAATGTCCTTCCTTTTTTCTGTGTGGTAGTATTTTAATATAGTTCCCTTTTCCACTAAACTATGACAAGCACAGATCTAATAAATGGCATTGCTCATATCCTCATTTTCAAATCCCTAACTGGTTTAATAATTCACTCCCCCTTGGTGCTTTAAAAATGGAACTTTTATCTTTGAATTCATCTATAAAACTGTTCTCTTCTGCTCCTGCTTGCTAAATGGACTTCATTTATCACTCATTTTATGGGAGCTTATCTGCTCCAAGAGGGGTTTGATCAGATAACCTGGCCCTTAAGAAAGCAGAGGAAGATCGCTAGGAATGGCTTCTATTGTTTGAGAACCTCTCTTTGATCTGAAATTTTTAGGAAGGTTATAGCAAGTCTCTAGAGTCTCTTGCATTTCTGATGACTCAAGAAATGCTTACCTTGGTCTCAAAGTCTGGTGAGCCCTTTGTCCAGCATTGCTTGCTGGATCCAATCTTCCAGAATGATCTGAAGATAGCTTAATCCCTAGCCAGGGACTGAAACATTCCTAGTTTAGTGTTGTGATATAATATGACAGATTTATATATTGTTCTGACATAGTGAAATGCAAAGAGATGAAGTATTTTATTTACACAGTAACCTCTTATTTCAACAGTTCACTGACTGTTGTATGGGCTTTCCTGGCCTCATCTAAAAGGTCTCCAGTATCCCTCTGAGCCTTGCAATGCAGACTTCCCAGCTTAGAAAGACCAAAGCAGTAGACTATTAAGTCAGGAAGGAAGAAAGAAAAATACAGTATAAGCAAAAAAAAAAAACAAACAAACAAACAGGAGGCCAGGGGAACTTCCATTCCTTGTAGCGTCTCTTGCTGCTGATTTATTCGTTCCTCCATTTGAATACAGGAGCCGTAGAGCAAAGGTTGGTTAAATGAATCTCTCCTTTCTCAGGTGCATCATTCACTCAACAAACATCATTGATCATTGCTTCCATAAACATTGTGCTTCTTTCCAAAAGTTGGAAGGAACTATATAATTATAATTCCCAAGTATATTCCTAAACAAAAGAGATATACTTCTGCATTCAAGGAGAAAGCAGTTTGGGGAAGAAACCAAGCCAAAAAAAGAAAATAAGTATTTAGTATAGTGAGTCCTGTAGTAAAAGATGTGCCAAATATTAGAGAGAAGAATACAGATAGACTAACTCAACCAATGCTGAGAATTTTGAGGAAAACTTCAGGGAATTATTTTAAATAAAAATTTTTTCAGCTGTCATGAACCTGAGAGTGAGTCTGTCAAAGGAGCTTGGTTCAAATCTCCAAGCAGAAAAGGTGGGAACGGTTTGGTTCTTTCTCTTCTTTTTCATCAAAAATCAAAGGGTATCTTTGTCTTGTTCTAGTAAGTTTTATTAGAAGGGAAGTTAGTAATTAGTTCTGCCTTATTTGACTTCAGTGACTTTGCTTTGTTTTCTTTCTGATAAATATATATGAGTATATATTTATTAATCACAATACATGATCACTTTATTAGACTTTTTTGAGGGATTAGAATTTTTATGGACTATGATCTTTAGGATATCTCTTTAAATCCTTACAGATTAAGGAGTAGACTAATATCACTTCAACAGTAGATACTCTTAAGAAGATATTTGAAAGTATTTTTCCTAATCTTAAAGGTCAGTACCCTTGCTGTACTGGTGCAAAAGATCACACCAAATACACAAGAATAGATTGTTTAGAGTTGCAATCCAAATTAACACAAAGTTGGGAAGATGGATTTGCTGATTTATAGCACAACAATTTATTGGTGTGGTGGTTGCCCAAAAAATGCATTATGTTTTTTCCTCTTCTAACAGGTATTCAGACATCACCCATGAGGATGCAGGAGCTCTTGGCCCCACTTGGGAAGTCTGAGAAGTGAGTGCTGGCTCACTCTTCCCGGGTACCATCAAGACTTGTCAAAGGGGAACAGAGCCATAAAACGTGTATTGTGGTATATTCAAGTAGAAGAAAAGAAAATAGAAAGAAAAAAGAGCTTCATCACCAACCTGGGGGAAATTTAGAAAGAAATGATTGGGTCTCAGGTTGGTTTGTTTTCTTACTCCCCAGCCTTGAGAGAGAAGGAAAAATAACATGTTGCTGCTCAAAGTGAAGGGCTCTGCTGGCCACCAGTGGCTCACATGTGTACTCCTAAGTAAGCCCCAGGACTGACAAACAACACTCATAAAGGGCTTTATCCCCTAGCACCCAGCATCATGGAGAAACTTGTTAGAAAAACAGCCTCAGGCCTCAGCCCAAATCTATCTCACCAGAACTGCCAAGGATCAAGACCTGCAGGCGACCTATATTTCTGTATGTGGAGTTTGACAAGCTCTAGACCCATGGTAGAGATGATTTAACATTGGAATCACTGGAGGAACTTGTTAAACTACCGATCCCAGCCCTCAGGTTCTGATTTAGATGCTCAACCTTCCTAAATGATTCCAAATGTGCAAGCGAAGGTAGTAAAGCACTCAGAGGCCCCCTTTTCCATATGAGAACCTCAGAAGTAACAGCCAATCCTAGTGCTGCTGAAGCAGAATGAATACCAAGAGCTAGCTCCCTGCAGCCTAATAAACCCACAGCTAGCAGCTCCACTTGGGTCAGGAAGCCTGAAGTGAGACCAGGTGTCCTAGCCTTCCTCTTGCTCAGGCGCTCTCGGGACTACACGCTCCTGGGAGAGCAATATGCTGTGGGAGAGCCAACTGTAAGCCTGGAGTGTTCTATGACTGCTTGTTGGACTCATCGTTAGACTTCGTTTGCAACTAGGAAAGGGTCCTTGTGCTGTGGAAGGTAGTAGAAGGAAAATGATTGTCCCAAACGGGGGCTTCGAACTGGCAAAGCAGACAAACCCAAACAGACCAGACTTGTCAGAAACAACAGCACCCAGTAAAACTCCTGCCATGAGTCAGCTCAGGGGAGGCCCAGCCCCTTCCAGTGAGTCTGATGAAGGATCCTGCCCTGCTGCTGGGCTGGGCTGGGCTGGGCTGCTGCTTCTCCCCAAACCAAGTCTTCACAGCAACTTCCCTTCCCTAGCTGTGTAAAACTTTTTTTTTTCCCTCCTTGCGGCTGGAGAGAAGTGTCACATTTTGCTCATTCCCAAGCCTTCTCCCCCACCCCCTCTCAGACACCGACGTGCAGGGGTGAGCACGGGGTGCTGTGCAGCCACCTCTAGCTTCCTCCTCCTCCAAGTTACTTTCAACTCCTCTCCTGGTAAAGCTATGAAGTTCCTCGGGAAGTCCAGGAGCTCGACAGCTGCTTTTCTGCCTGTTTGCTGTCTCTTTTTGAAGATTCTGCAACCAGGGCACAGCCGCCTTTATAACAACCGCTATGCTGGGTAAGTGGAGGGACTTTCATGTGTATGGCTTTCATTTGGATAAAGGGTGGGGGTGCCTAGTCTGCTGCCTTCTTCTGGTTCAGGGTCTCTATGTGAATTTGCAAGCTTTCCTGGTCTTCTCTATAAAATGTACAGTGCTTTTGGCTGGGCTCACTGAGTAAATGTGGACAAGAGTGGCCTCAGCTGTGGACCCTGGGTTGAATGGGATTCAGTCTTTGGAGAAGCCATGCCTAGTATATGCAGAATTTATCTGAGTTGATTCTGAGGGATGCTGTTATACTGTGTGAATTGTGACCTGAAAATCAAGGCTTCTGATGTAGAATTGTATTCAGGCACAGTGAGTTGAAATTCACCAGTGACTAATTTAAGAACTGAGTGTGATTTTTGTTGGGTAATACTTGTTAGCCTTCAGAGCAGTTGTTAAAGATTTTTTTTCAAAACTGAACAGTACAAATAATTCAATTCAAAAATAAATAGAAGTAGCCAGCTGTAAAACTCTGGGTATTTGTCTGAAGGCAAAGCAACAACAATTGGTCCCCCTTCCCCATAGGTTTGCAAGTTTTGCAATGCGGCTTTCTTATGGAAGCCCAGAGCTGGATATAAAACAGTACATTGCTATGCATGCTCTTATTATCCCAAGGCTTACTGTGGTATAGACAGCATATGTGTGACTCAGCTTTGCAGGGGGTCATTGTTTGAATCTGGAAATTATGGCATGCCTGCATTTTAGGAGAGGAAGAAACTCAAATAGTTCCTGTAGTTCAACTGCTTCAAAAAGAGAAGGAAAGCCAGTGTCCTTCATATTTTTCAGGAGTTTACTATCTCTCAAGAATCTCCAGCTGAAAAAAGTTTTCGTAGTGGTGGGAATTATGACCTGGAAAGTAATCAACATGCTAAAGAAAAGGTTTTTTTTTTTTAATAGAAATAATGTGAAAAGTTGATGTGAACCCTGGAAGAGAGAATTGTGTTGTTCCTTCTCTCCCAAAGGATCTGAGCATTGCTTTTTTTGATCCTCTGAATGTGTTTCTAGGAGAGAAATTTAAAAATATATCCTTAATTTTAAAGGGTGCAGGCAGTAGGTAGAAGTGTTGGTTGAGGTAAGGGTTATAGGTGGGAGTATGATCCCCCAATTTTCCTACCCTTGTGTTCTTGGAAGGAATAGAAATGATCTGACATCAGAGGCTTGCTTACCCTTTGGAGTCCTGAACACAGAAGGCTAGACTTTACATCCTGTAATGTATCACTCCCCACCCCCAACCTCCCCTTTGCCATAATTGACCCTCTTTGTCAATGTGTCAATTAAAGAAGTCCCTTCCTGACTGATTTGTCGCATAAGATTGTAGAAAAGTAAATTGTGACTCTCCTGGCTGATGCTGGGTCATATGATAAACACGTATCCAGAGTGAGATGTGCCCATGAGACATAGGATCTCACTCCTCCACTCAGCTGCAGGCCTGTCCATAATTATTTCAGCGTGTTGCATTCCTCAGTGATAAGTTACTAGGACTGCTCCAGATGAGCAGGTGTGTGTCTGTCCCTAAATAGCACCTGGCAGAGGACATAGGCCAGTGGCAACGTCTTTGCTATAGCATTTTAAGCATGTGGAGCCCTGCTGGAGGAGACTGAGCCACCTACTCTGTTGTTCTGCACTAAAAGTAATAATTGCCATTTTCTCTTCAGCCACCAGATAATAAGACAGTCCCAAATGTATAAATTACCAGATGCCTGAAAGTTGTAAGGAAAAAATAAATAAGAGGAAATAATGAGAAGCTAAAGAACTGAGCCTTCCCTGTCGATCACAACAGGAGCCTAAGTTCTCTTTCAAGCCAGGAATATTTCTGAGTCTATTCCCCACTGAGAATGGAAGTCTTTAGCTTACTTTCATGAGATGTATGCCATTCTCTTGTTACCAGGAACAGGGATTTGGGAAGTGTCTTTGTCTTAGGAACTACATTTTATGTGTTTACCTGTTTGGGAACTAGAATCTGATGGGAAGACAGGGTAGAATAGTGTTTAGCATTATTTTTGACTCGCAGTTATTTTAAGCTACCCCGTGTTTTTATCCTTTAGTTATGTTTCCTTTGTTCATTAAAAAATAATTATAGTACAAGTCTATTTCTTGCATTCTTGTCAAGATATTTGGTATGTGTTAGTGAATCCAATAATATGTGATTATCATTTTGCAGGACCCTGAGCACAAAAACAATTAGGTCACAACAAAATACACCAGCATAGCTCCGGAGAGCAGCTAATGAAGTAGATTGTTTTTATATGTAATCTAATAACAATTGGATAGGGCCAATTGTGTAATCAGTGTTTAGTAAATGGCAAATTTAAAGATCTCAGGAAACAAAACAAAAATGCATAGAGTGACTTCAGGGAAGATCTAATGGCAAAAGTTAATACCATTTGGAGGTAAATTATACATAAAGGCCCAGCATGGTAGTACTCACCTGCAATCCCATCTACACAGGGGGCAAAGATCTGGATGACTCACAATTAGAAGTCAACTAAGACAAAAATCAAGACTACATCTCAACCAGTTGGGCATGATGGCAAGTACCTGGCATTGCAGAAACAGAGAAGGGATACATAGGTAGGAAGATCAAGGTGCAGAGGCTAGCCTTGAGGGGAAAAAGACTATCAGACTAAAGCAAATAACTAAATGGCTGAGGGCATGGATCAGGTGGTAGATCAATTGCCTGGACATTAGTATCCTGGTAAACTGAAGCTCTAAATTCAACCCCAGTATGCCTAAAACATAAACATTACATCTTTTGAAAGGCCTACAAATACACAGAAAAGAAAGTAAGTTGAGGGCTGGAAATGTGCTTGCCCAGCATGCATGAAGCCCTGGATTCGATTCCTCAGTACCACATAAACAGAAAAAGCTGGAAGTGGTGCTGTGGCTCAAGTGGTAGAGTGCTAGCCCTGATCAAAAGAAGCTCAGGGAGAGTGCCCAGGCCCTGAGTTCAAGCCCCAGGACTGGCAAAAAAGAAAAAAAAAAGAAGGAAAGTAAGTTGATTTCTTGACTTTCAAATATCACTCTATCGATAGTCTGCTTTTAGAGGCCATCAGGGTCTTCAAATGCCAAATCAACATTTTGGTTGTAATTGAATGACACTCTATGAGTAAGATTTTTACACAAGGCCACAGCACTGTGCGCTTCCCCACCCCCCCACTCTTTCTAGTTTTTCTAGAAATAGATCTAGTGTTGCTTTATACTGTGATATCTAACACAAAAAAATGATCTGTGTCATATGATCTATCTGTGTCACAGAGTAGATTTTTTTTTTTTAGTGGTAGTAAAAGTGAGGTCTAAGTCAATAAAACACTATAAAACTAGTGGTTATCATGGATAGGATTTTGAAAACTATTATTTATTCATGTATTTTTCACAGCCTTCTGTAAGTCAGCCACAGTATAACATATGTCCTCAAGTTCAACTGTCTAGGTTTTAATGTCTATTTTCCCACATTTATTAGCTCTATTATCTTGGGCAAGTTCCTTAACTTCTCTAGACCTAAGTCTCCTTATCTAGGACAATAGAGGCAATATTAGAACCTTCTTCATCAAGTTGTTGAAAGTATTAAAGTAATAGCATGGATATTGAATGGTTCTTGACACTTAATAAGTATTTGGTTGTATGATAAAATAGGTAATGCTTACTAATATGTAATATAAACATTTATGAAATTAATAATTCTGTCAACCTCATGCCTCTAGTATTCGTCCATTTTACACATAAGCTAAAGGAGTTATAGACTGATAGACTCAAGTTCAAGATCACTATAAGGACACAGTTGGGATTCTTACTCCACTCTTTCTTTTACATTGGATTTTATTTATGTATTTTTATTATCTTTAAGTCATTGTACAATGAGGTGTTGATTCAACATACTAATTTATGAATACAAGGCATCTTGACCAATGTCACTCTTTCCATTGTTCTCCTCTCCCCCATCATCTAGCTCTTCCTTTCTTCCTTTCTTTCTTCCTTTCTTTCTTTTTTTGCTGGTCAAGGAGTGGGGGGGATGCAGAGAGGTGGCTGAACTCTGGGCCTCAACTCTTCAGCTCAAGGCTAATGCCCTACCACTTGAGCCACAGCACCACTGCTGGCTTTTTTCTGCTTATATGGTGCTGAGAAATTGAACCCAGGGCCTAATGCATGCAAGGCAAGTGCTCTACCACTGGGCCACCTTTCCAGCCCAACTCTTTCTTACTTTACAAACTGTTCTCAGTCTGCCACGCATTTAGGCATTTAAAAGCATTACAACTTAGGAAAACCTGAAGGTTTGAATCTCATTTTGGGAATTGATAGTTTCAGGTAAGATTGGTAGTTTTTAACCTGGGTCTCCCCCTTTGGAGGGATGATGAGTCACTGGTGGTAAATATGTATTAGAAAGCCAATAAGTGATAGAAAATAAGATGAGATGAGGAACTTCAGATTATCACACACAAAAAGTATAGCACCAAAATGCCTGTGGACATGTGATCTCATCCGTATAAGTATTACCTGAATGCCCATTGGGTGCCAAGAATATTGACAGACAGAGTGAATGCCCTTTGAGGGATATAATTCAGTCAAGAGAAAAGGCCACACAATGAATGAGTAGACAAGTATACTGTACATGGACTGAGCATACTGCCTGGAAGATTGATAGGTGTATTCATACAAGAGTTAGAAATCCCCCATGGGGCTGGCCAATTTTCACCTTCTAGCCCTGCTGTGTCTCAATGGTGGCACAAAGACACATGGCTTCCTCCTGTGTTTTTGCTGCTTCTTAGGTCTTGAAGTGACTGGTTTAAGAATCCATTTGCTGAGATCCTCTGGATTCATCTTTCCTCATTCAAGTCCACACTTTTGGCAGGGGGGCGGAGGTGGGGTGGGGAGAGGGATTAAATATTTTTTAATTGTTAAGATACTGTACAGAGTGGTTATAGTTATATGAGTAAGGTAATGAGTACAGCCCACACTTATTAAAGTGACCTGTCATGTT